GGGGCCGGTGGGACTAAACTCGGAGGTATATTAAATTTCAGATATAAAGTTAATGTATTATGAGGGACTAGCAAAACGGCCATTTCATATTTTTTTATTTAGCGCATCTTTATTTATTAATACAAAATTTATACAATAGTTAATACTATGCGATACAACACTAATACACTAAAAGTGAGTTTTTATTTTTCCTTGACATTTGTGGCTCAGCATTGGGATTAATTATGGCTTCAGCCCCCCCTCCTTCAGTTCTGTTGTGGCGCCTGTAAAATATGGTTTATTTTTATAAGTGGATTGCAATTTCGATGAGGCTATTGTGAAATTTTGAGATTCCAGGATTTCTGTGACAGTAAATTCATTTAATTAGGGCTCATTTTTGACGATATTCATAAACAAACATTTTTTAATTTGATTTTAGACGAGAGTAGCAATGCCAGCCTCAGAAACTTTTTACCTGCTGTTGGAAGCCAGCGTGGTTCACATGAAGTAGGACGCTCTGAACAGCCATGTTCTTCCGGTGCCGGTGATATAAGAAATTATGTGGCTTCAAATGAGACACTTGCTGCAGAAGTTTTGTGGGCACTGAAAGTAATCTTGTCTCACTATAGTTACAAGAGCTGTGAGGACATTCCAGAACTATTTAAACGTATGTTTCCGGACAGCCAGATAGCCAGCAAGTTTTCCTGTGGCGAGAAAAAATGTGCTTACTTAGCTTGTTTTGGCATAGCACCCTATTTCCAACGTAAGCTTACGGATGAAGTCACAAAACTTGAATTGTTTGTTTTACTTTTTGATGAATCGCACAATAAAGTTACCCAAACCAAGCAGATGGATCTGCATGTTAGGTTTTGGGATGCAAAGAACTCCAGAGTGCAGACAAGGTACCTAACCTCTGTATTTCTGGGACATGCTACAGCCGACGACCTTTTGGAAAAGATCGTTAGCTACCTTGATAGTATCAAGATTCAGAAGTCCAACATATTGCAGTTGTCAATGGACGGGCCTTACGTGAATTGGAAACTGCATGAGCTATTCCAGGAACTGATCTCTGAGGTTGACGAAAACGCACCCATCTTAGTTAACGTAGGCTCTTGTGGACTTCACATTGTACACAATGCTTTCAAAGCTGGATCAAAGGCATCTACTTGGAGCATTCAGGAAGTTCTGTCTTCTCTTCATTGGTTATTTGTGGATTCACCAGCACGAAGAGAGGATTACACAGAAATAACCAGCAGTGTTGTATTTCCAATTAAGTACTGCAAGCACAGATGGCTGGAGAACCTGCCAGTTGTAGTACGGGCCCAGGAAATATGGAAAGAAGTCACTTTCTATGTGACAACGGTGCAACGTAGCAGCAAATATAGTGTGCCAACTTCAAAGTCCTACAAGACGATAAGAGATTCAACCCAAGATCCACTAATGCCTCTCAAATTTGCTGCTTTTGAGTCAGTGGCTAAACAGCTGCAACCATTTCTGGTACAGTTCCAAAGCGACAGCCCTCTTCTACCATTTGTGGCCAGCAGTCTAGAGAAGGTGATTCGTGGTCTCATGAAAAGGTTCGTCAAAGCTGATGTACTCCAGGGTGCCAGCTCTGCAGTAAAGCTTCTGAAGATTGACTTCAAGAAGAGGGAGAATTGCCTTGACGTGGAGAAGTTGGATGTTGGTTTTGTTGCTGCCACGAAGCTGAAAGAATTGCAAGCAGCCAAGAAAATCAGTGATCGTCAGACATATGAATTTAGGAAGGAATTCCAGTCGTTCCTTACAGCTACAGTTGGAAAACTTATTGAGAAGACCCCAATTGCCTATTCCCTTGCCAGGAACCTGTGCTGTTTGG